TACAAGAGTGACTGGTCACTCTTCATGTAACTTGGGTACACATGGGTTCGTACCCCGTTACATAGATGGGCAACAAAGAGGGCCGATCAAGACCGTAAGTCGTGCGAGCAACGCTAAACAAACGTTCAGCAAGGTTGGATGTGGGAGGGGTCGGGTGGACGAGCTTGTACGCGTTTTTGGCTGACTCCAGTCAAGCTCTTTTAAGGACTGATGCTGCGAATCCTTGTTGCGACGATCCTTGCAGATTCACTTCGTTCTGGGGTTCTCGCAGAAAACGTTAGCAAGCCGCTTTCTCCTGGCGGCTCATAAGGTTCTGTTTGTCAGACTGAATTTTGACGCAGGCTGACTCAAAGTCAGGGCTGGCCACGATTGATCCTGAGCTAACCTTTTGTTCAGGGAGCAATTGTCGCTGACCAGGAAAGCAACCTGGTCAATTGTCATGCCAAAAACGCACAGTATCAATATCATCACGTCCCGATGCGCTTCAGCATCTATACTCGGTAGGCTTTGTGCTGTATGACAGCAGTTTCAGAGTCCTCCTCAGGTGGCTCTAGAACCGAAGCCATGGCGAGTAGTGGACGGCCATGATGGCAAAATTCACAATGAATCGCTTAAATAAAGGAAGGTCCAGCAGACTAGTTAGTAGTAGACGAAGTAAGGAGAGTTGGTGGTTGGCGTTGATAGTGCTAGTAAAAACGGTCAAGTTTTCACACATTAATAATTCTTACGTAAAAAGTGTTGTCATACATTATGCATTTATAAAGTCGATGTGGCTCCCATACATAATGGGAGCCAATTTATATTTATTAATGTATGCCATTATGCATTATTCGGGAGCCCTGCGTCCCTTTCTCCACCTTCGCCAGGAAGAGTTGCAGTTTGTCTGCATCGACATCCTTCAAGTCATTCGTCTTCTCCCCTTGATAACGTCCTTCAAGTCTCCCACCGACTGACACGCATCGACGTCCACAGGGAACGCTCTTCCCGCCACACCAACAACCGCACAGAAGAGCTTCACCATCGTTCCTCAAGCCGGCGCATTCTGGAATGAGTGAGGAAGAAGGAGAGGATTTCCGTTCGTATTTAAGCGGAAATCCTCTCCTTCTTCTCGGAGCACCTCTTTGCGGTATGAAAAAACTGCCGGCGTAACGTGCTGCGCTCAACGGAGCTTAGCATGATTTTCCCTTCGAACGAATACCTGCTTTTGTATGTAATCCCAATGTTGCTGTGTACGGTGCTTGGAGGTATGGAGGAGATCTCCTTCCCACCGGATGCTACTTAGCGGTATTGTGGTCGATTTCAATAGGTGCTGTTCGGGAAGCTCTAAACCTACTTTCGTTGTTAAATTACGGGAAGAAAGAAACTGCCGGCGTAATGTGCCAGAATATACTACAGTCACACCTCCCTATTTGAACGCCCCTAACTGAATATACACTCTCTAAATGATAGGGCACAAGCTATGCAAAACAATTTGTATAGGTTTCAGTATGTTCCTCCTTTATCTGCACAAAAACCTCTCTATTCGCTAAATGACACCCACGTCGGGAAGAAAACCTCTCTATTTGGACACACGTCTCAGCCAATCCTGACATTATCACTTCTGCCGCACAACCAACAAGTCTCTACTAAGTCCTCAAAATGACAACTACGCCCTTGCA